CTTGGATGGGCGGTGGTCTGAGTGTCCTCCTTCTCAGCTCAGCTCAGTTCGGCCAGACCGGCTGGCTGGCTGGGTCAGTCAGTATAGCCGTGTTGACTGCAGACAGGTGAATGCTTTGACTCACATCGACCGAATCGAACCGATACAACAGCTGCCTGCTCACACCCACATCCACGCCTACCTGCCTGGCTTGTCTGCTTCTCTCTCTCACTCTCTGTCCTGTCCCGTCCTGAGTGGGTGAATTAAGGTACCCCTCTCTCTCTCTCTGAGTGTGCGTGCGTGTGCGTGTCTATCTTTATCTCTCCCTGTGTTTCTGTTCCTGGCTCTGTCGCAGAGAGCGCCCCAGTACCATGACAGACAGACAGACAGACAGTCAGACAGACAGCCTGTCTGTTGGGCAGCCTGCCAGCCTGCCAGCCTTAGGCCGCTTCATCTCATCTCGGTAGTGGTTTTTGTGTCGTCAAGTTTTCCTTCTAGTGAACCCCTCACAGTCTACATCACACCTGCTGCCTCTCTGCCTTTTGTGTGCCGGAGATGACGGACGCTTCGATATATGTCAGCAGCAGTATCGGCGAGCACGGCAGTCCTCCGCGTTTGACTCCGAAGCTGGTGCTGGTGTGGACCTGAGCGTCCGTCATTCATCGGCACACTGGGAGGTGCAAGACAGAGAGAGGCAGAGCAGAGCAGAACAGACAGACAGACAGCTGCCTGCCTGTGTTCGTACGAGTGGATTCGGACTCACGTGATGTCCAATGGTTTTGGCGTCTCAATGGCGGCTTCTCGGGGCGGACGCGCGGATGTCAAGAAGGCGATCTGGTAGAACAGATGCCTTCGTTGCGTCCGGGTGGCGGCATCATTGAGGAGTGGCCGGTGAGACGCTAGATCCTTTTGTGACGTCAGGTCCGCATGGAGGCAGATACAGGCAGGTGGTGCAGGTGGGTGGTAGGGGATGCGAGTAAAGGAGCGGACGGATGGGTCTGTGACGTGTCTGTCATTCCGTGTCCAGTGTTGTGAGCTGCCCTCGCCACACACGTATATGCATGCCCCAGTGGTGGGTGAGTGAGGTGAGTGGACTCTGCTCTGCTCTGCCCCTGCCCTGCCCTGCCGCACACACGGGCTTCCTGCCTGATTGCCAAACGCCTGGCTGGAGGCCGTGTGGTGTGTGGGTGGCTGGACAGATGGATGGATGGACCCAGCTCGATGACCCATCTCCGTTAAGAGTATTAGGTGTATTTCAGTAACCCTCGCACTGAGTGGGCCGGCAAACTCATCCCATCCCATCCCAGTCTGTATACAGGTCTACACTCTTGCAACTCACTCGTCAAGAGCTGCGTGGGTGTGGCAGCTGCGACAAGCACCAGACGGTCACCGACGGCAAGACACACTGCAACGCATCCTCGCCCTCATACACTCGCTGATCGATCGTGTCACATTTCACAGCAACCTTGACTTCACTGCTCGCGGGCCGCTGCTGCTGCTATGCTGCTGCAGCACTCCCTGCTGGCCCGTGCCCACCATCAGCCGCCTGGCTGTCAGCCGCCGATACACTGCTGCCCTCTGCCTCTTGCTGCTGCTGCTGCTGCTCTTCCTTGTGCCTGTCCATGACAAGCTGCAGCGCCTCGCGCATCCTCATGGTGGTGTTGTGGTCCTCACCAAACACCTCTATTGCACTCTCGATACCCTTCAGACACACACCACATACCACACACCATGACATGGCATGACATGGCATGGGGGCGCCGTGCACTGTGTGAGAAGGCTCCCCACCCGTGTGAGTGATATCTTGGCGAGCAGGTTCTGGGCCCTCTCGGCGTAGGCAAGACCTGAAGCGACATGTATGACACGGCGAGGAACGGACGGACAAAAGGCCAGCCACATCTCTCTGCGTGTGCCGTCAGTGCGTGCGTGTCTGTGTGTATGTGTGTATACCATACCCAGGTTGTAGTATCCGATTGCGATGTAGGGGGTGTTGGGGTTGCCATCTGTGAGCTGGTAGAGGATCAGCAGCGCCTCCTCATAGTCCTCGATGGCCTTGCCCGGCGCCCCCAGCTCCTGGTACACCGCACCACGCGCATTCAGCACCTCCGGCAGCGTCGGACACATCGGCCCGCCCAACTCCTTCCTGAATGAATGGCTCAACCACACAACACACACACACCATGACGAGAGAAGCGGTGAGCACCTGACCGCTTCATTCCTCGGTCGGTCAGTTGGTTTGTCGGCTGTTTACATGGTGGTGTAAGCCTTTTCGAGCCACTCGAGCGCCTCGTTGGGGTCGCCCTTGTCTCGGTGTGCGAGGCCGATCATGCTGTAGCACTTGGCGAGGGGGAGGGTCTCGACGTGCTCGCCCGCTATCCTCTGGTACACCTTCATGGCACGGGTGTACATCGTGATGGCGCGCTCGTGGTTGGTGTTCTGGTGGTAACTCATACCAAGGTCCAAATACTGATCTGCAGAGGTGGACCACACCACAAACCAACACACAACACACTCTGGTGGGAGTCGGGTCGTCAGTCATTCTCCCCAGTGAGTGAGTGTGTTGCAGTACGAACCAACTACCGTACCGGCGAGTTTGGGGTCATCCATGGCGCAGACGGTGAGGAGTATCTTCATGTGCTGCTCCATGTCGGCGATGATGGCCCGCATCTTGGCCTTGCTGCTCACGTACCCCAGGTTGATGTAGGTGTCCGACTGGGGCAAAAACTCCATCTCCTGAGGCACCTTCCTGAACAAATCAGACGACTCCGACTCGGCAGCGCCGCCCTCATCATTGACAACACCCGGCTCATCCTCGTTCTCCTTCCCGCTGCCCTCTGCATCTTGGTGCTGCTGACGTGGGCTCGCCCTGACGTCCACAGGCTCTGCTGCTGAAGCGCTATCTGTTGATGCTCTCGCATCTGCCTGTTCTGATGGGTGTGGCTGCTGTGGCTGCTGTGATGACAGCGATGACGAGAAGGATCTGGGCTGCATCTGCATCAAACATCCCAGGTGTGGCTGCCGCTGCCTCGACAGTCTGTGCCGCACCAGGCAAGGCGGCGGGTTGGGAACGAAGCAGGGGAGCAAGCGCGATGACACGAGGGATCTTCGCATCACGTTGTGCAACTCCATCAATCTTTGCTCGGGAGAGGGTTTCGCGGCAGGGTTTCGCCGCGAGCTTAGCTGCTGAGGAGGGATCGGTCAGACATGGAGACTGGCTCTGCGGTTGTGGTAGAAGAATCAGGCATTCAGCTTCGGGCATCGCCTCTCACCTTCGGCCTGCAGCAGCTGCAGCAGGTGAGATGGATGGATGACAGGCCATACACAAACACGACACGACATCAGGGATGCCATCCATCATCTGTGTTCTCCCTCCCCTCCCCAGCTGTTCAGTGGGGAGTGTCCGCTTGAGGCGATTGATGACGCGCTGGTGCGTCATGGTGGCGACGTGGAGAAGGCCACCGAGGACTTGTGTGTGATCATCGAGAGCCTGGCTGAGGGCAAGAGCGGTGCGCAGCCACAGTCCCATGACGCAGAAGAGCAGCAAGAAAAGCCGGAGCCTCCTCCTCATCCTCCTGCTGCTGGGCCGAGCGATGCCGATGAGCTCCTAGCCCGACAGCTGCAGGACTACGAGTGAGGAGGAAAGGAAGCAAACGCACACACGTGACGTGCTTTATCTATCAGTCAGTCGTGGTGGCCAAACTCTTGTCTGTCTTCCTTTCGTCCTTTCCCTGGTGTGTTCATTCAGGGACAGCCGTGCCGCCCAAGCCGTCGAGGCTGCGAGGAGGCAGGCGGCACAGCCCAGCGGCAGCAGCGGTGGCGGCGGAGGCGGTCCTGGCATCTTCCCTCTGCCCAATCTGGGAATACGCAAGCCGCAGTCGTCGTCGTCGCAGCCCCTGGCAGCTGCTGCTGCTGCTGCTGGTGCTGGTGGAGAAGGGTGGGGCCAGCCAAGGCCGAAGGGCCAGCTTGCGGCAGAGAAGATGAAAGGTCAGGAGGGAGGACACAGAGAAGCAGACACTTCGAAGGCGAAGGGAGGAAGACTCACAGGCATGTGTTGCGTTGTGTTGCGTGTTGCGTTCAGAGATCAGAGAAAAGATGGGTGACGGCATGAACCGCCTGTTTCGCCGCGGCAAGAAGGCCCCCGAGCCACGGGGGGCGTATGGCCCGAATCTGCAAGACGAGGGCAGCATCAGCTTTGGGATATCCACAGGCAGGGGGTGGGGAGGCGGCACATTCAACAGGGCAGGCGAGCCGGGGGAGGTCGAGCCGCTCACCGAGGCCGATGTCATGGTGGACAGCGTCATGCAAGGTCGGTGGGCGGGACGGACCGATGGACCGATGGATGGATGGATGGATGGTGTGTGCTGTGCAGATGCCGGATACACAAACTCTTACGTACCGACGACTGCTGAGGTGAGTGAGTGAGCAACGCAGCCACGCAGCCGATGGATGCGATGCATTTCTTTGTGGTCATCCCATCCAATGTGTGTCTAATCTGCGCATTGTTTTGCTTTGCAGGCGGCCCCAAGTGAGACCCCCCCACCCACTCAGCAGAGTTCTGCCTCGAGCGCACCGAGGACGGAAGGCGGCGACCACTCACCATACAAAGTGCAGTACAAACCGCCGGCAAACGGCGACAACGGTACACCCACACGGCCCTCGCAAACCGACAGGACACACACAAGTTGACCCTCACACGCATGTCCTTATGTCATGTCAGCATTCGGTACGCCGGCTGCGTCCGAGTCGGTGGATCTCCTAGGCCTGGATGGCCAGACGACCACACAGCAGAGCGGCTCTGCTGACGGGGCCACCGAGATCTAACCATGTCTGAGGGTTCTGCAACCGGTGATGCGGTTGTGTTGTTTTTCTACTACCAGCTGCTCGGCTCTTGCACATGTGTAACGTTGTCTAACCGGCCCGCGAATGGGCATGCGTGAAGATGATGATTCGAGTGATGGCCTTTTGTTCGCGCATTGGATGGATGGATGGATGGATCGATGACGATTGTCGTGTGTTGACGACAGAGTGTGGACGCGACCAAACGGTATTTCTGTATGGAAGTCGAATTGAGTTTCGTGGATAAAGCGGGCAACGAACGCACAGATGTCCAGTCCACCAATGGTCACCATTGGAAGAATCAATAATCACAGAGTCCGGTCGCTCTCCCATATCGATCACGTATGCACACGTCCCACCGACTACACACACGGCAGGCAGGCAGGTAGGCAGCCCCGCGGCAGACCGGGCCTAGAGGCACCTCCTCTCAGCAATGGCGGCCCCATGGTCGTGGAACTCCTGCTTGGAGACCCACCTGGACTGGAAGGACTGCAGGCTCGCCAGGATGGACCCCCCGATCCATGCCGAGTATCGTCGCTCCACGGCAGCGCTGTGTGCGATCATCTTGATCTTGACGCTGCTGCCCAGGCAGTCGTCGGCGTTGAGGCTCTTGGCCATGCGGTCGGCCATGCCGGCGAAGAGGGAGGAGCCGCCCGTGCAGATGACGCCCGACAGCAGCTGCAGCGGGATATCGGCGTCGCAAGTGTTGAGGCAGTCCACCACCATCTGCGGCACACCCTGATAGTGGCTGAGCCCGGCCTGCTCAGTGCCACTGCCGGTGGCTGCGTCGTCGGACTGCTGTTCGGGCGTGATGATGATGTCGGAGCGGAAGAGCCTCTCGGGGATGGTGTAGGGGCTGATTGTCCTGGCGGTGATCTGTGTGCCGTCCGGCAGGATGTAGGGCGGCTGCTCGGCAGCCACGGGCAGCTGGTCGAGGCTGACATTCATGGCATCGGGGCTGGCCACGGCCTCGTCCTCCGCGACTCGACACATGCTCTCCTTGACGAGCCGCAGCGTGTCGTTGCGCGCCTCCCTGTAGTAGCTGGCGTCCACCCGGCCGGCGTCCTGCGGCTGGTTCTCGAATGTCATTCCGCCGTCTTTGGTCAGGCGCTTGAAGCAGAAGTGGGGGAGGGCGTTGATGCCCTTCTGCTTGAGCAGCAGCCCCAGCTGCTGGTCGAGGAAGTCGCCACCAACCGGGGAATCCTTGACGCTGTTGGACAGGACGAAGCCGTCCAGCACCGCCGATACCGACGTGCGGGAGGCGCCCATGTCGATGACCAACGAAGTGGATCTGCCTGACGCAAACGAGCTCAGCACCGCATCCTGAAGCGACAGTTAACACGCACTCCGCGGAATGTTTTCTTTCTCAGTAAAACTGGGTCGCCGACTGACCTTGCAGAAGTAGAGTGCAGGCACCTCATACTTGTTGAAGAGCACATCCATGATGGAATCCCGGAAGGCCTTGCTGTGCCGCGTCGGCTCCGGCAGCATCACGGGCGTCTCCTCAAACCGCACCGACAGATCCTTCTCGATGTGCCGGCAGATGGCGTCGAACACCTCGGTGTCCACACTCGTCAGCCCCCTCTCATCGCGGCTGAGGCACCTGTGCACGCCTAGGTGATCCTTCTTGACGAGCACGTTGAGCGGGTAGACCACGTCGCCCTTCCTGCGGTCGTCGTGGCTGGTGTACTTGCCCATGGACGACAGGTGGTCCATCTTGGGCGCATCTTCGCCAGCAAAGCCGCACCTAACGGATCGTGAACCGACGTCGATGACGAGGGCGTTGACGTCATCGCCGTGGCCGGCGGTCTTCTCCTCAGACGGCATCCTCTTTTGCTGCGTGCGAGAGATGGATGGATGCAGTGGTCACCACGAGTCGCAGATCCGGACTGACGGCGTCATCGCTTCAGCGCGCACACATTGGCAGTGGCAGGCGGATCTTCCTCAAAAGAGGGGGTCCGTTCTTCAGGGTTTCACGCCCCAAGGGTAAGGAACCCTGATCGCTGACAACTCCAAGTGTTACTCCAGCATGAGTGTGAAGCTGATCCGTCCGGCAGGAGCGTAGAGGGGCCAAGATGGGCAACAACCACACTGCGGACCGCCACGGTGCCGTTATCGACGACCACACACTCGACTTCCTCCACAAAGCCGACAGAGATGCCCTCCACACGTATGCAAACCACACACGAATCAGTGAGGGAGGGGGAGTGGCAGTTGACAGCTGTGTGTGTGTTTGGGTGTGTTGTGCCATCTGTGTATGTGTGCAGCCGGTCGGAGGTCGGCAGCCTCAGAGTCACGGCCCGTTTCCTCTATGAAGTCGACTTCTCGGCCGCCGTCCTGAGCAGTCGACTCAATCGCTGCCTGGCGGCCAAGGGACTGCACGCCATCATCGCATTCGACGGTCAGCTGGACCGCCCTCTGCTGCTGAAGGCCATCTGGCTGGTGGACACACAGCAGTGGACCGAGGTGGCCAATGCGCTGAAGTTGGCGAGGCAGAGGGGCTTCTGTCAGCTGCCCATCACACTCTCTGTGGCCGACCTGGAGCGACACGGTAGCAAACAGGTGGGCAGATGAGCGTGGGGCGGGGTAGGTGGCACTCATCGATCTGTCTGTCTGTCTGTGTAGGCGTATTTGGCCGATGTGCGTGTGATTGCGTTGTGGAACATGCTCGGCCGGCACGTCGACTTCGGCGGTGACTACGGCCGTTTTGAGCTGTTCGACCAGCCGGGCGGCGGTGTGCGTGCCCTCAAGGACGAGCCGGGCTTCGAGCTGGACATCAACCCGCCCCTCCCCCCCGCCCACCCGTACCACACACACATCATCAACGACAACCCCCCCGTCAGATGCACAATCCGCCGGCAGGGGGGCAGCAGCTGGACGGCCGATGGTGAGGAGATCACTAATGCCTCGGCGTCGGCGTTCATCATGAGGAGCATCTTGGCGGACCCTCCACTGGCCAATTTGGGCATGACTCAATTGGTTTGGGTGGATCGGTACGCAGGGCAGACCACACTCAGGCAGACACACATCCATCCATCCATCCATCAGGGCCTCTCCCCTCTGTTATGTGTTGGTCTCCTCAGGCGTGCTCACGGCGGTATGCTGGACGGCCTCCTCAACCAGTCGCCCCACCAGCCCCCAACGGATGCACCGCCGTCGTGGCGAGCAGGGGTGACGGCGTGGATCCTCCTATGGAGACTCGGCGGCTGCTGCTGACGCCGTTCGACGGCCCATTCGTCGCGTGTGTCACTCTCATCACCTGGGCCGGCACGACCATGGGTAAGAAAGGGAACAGAGTTGTTTTGCTGATTGAGCCGTTTTCTGACGTGTGCTGTGTCGCTGAAGGAGTGGGTGTTGCTGTTGTCACCCACGAGCCGCCAGTAGGTGATGCATCGGCTGCCTTCAAGGACCGCCGTCCGGCCACCGCCCCTCTGGTGGGCGGCGCGCTGGGCAGCACCATCGCAGACATGGTGGTCAACCAACAGGAGACAGTCGCTGATGCGGGTGAATGTGCAGTCGCCGCCTCCACCTCGGTGTGTCTGTCGGATGAATCGGCGTGTGTGTGGTTCGCAGATGAGGGTGCGGGTGGCGACGATGGCGATGGTGGTGAGGGTAAGTGGTCTGTGTGCGGTGCCCAGCCCGCCTTGCTAGGTGTCATACTCGTGTGTATGTGTGTGTGTGCAGAGGATGATGATGACAGTGACGATGACGGCGACAGCGATGAGGGTGAGTGGAATACATGTGTTTGTGTGTGTGTGGTTGGGCCCATTTGTATGTTTGCGTGTCTTGAGTGCGCAGATGTAGATGGCGACATCGACGGAGAGGGCAATGGCGATGGCCGCCAGCAGCAGCAGCAGCATCAGCATGATGAAGAGGGTGAGATGGGGAAAGGGGATGACCTAGATCAGAGCAACATACACGCACTCATTGTGTGCGTCATGGCCATCTTTGATGTATGCAGGTTGATCGACTGCGACACTGGTCGGTGGGGTAGGTGGTGGACGGATGGATGGATGGAGGATGGACAGGAGGCCGGGCGTAGCGTATGCAATGCACACAGCCAGCTCAGCTGCCTCATATGACATGATGCCGATCGAATCCATGCGGTTTTGCAGCGGACAGACAGACAGACGTGCATGCAATGCATTCATTGATGTGTCCATGCGTTCTTGACGGTGAAGCTAAGCTGCTTTCTTTCCGTTTGTTCTTCGTGTCCACAGACACACACACCAACCAATGCCACGGCACAGAACCTCGGCACGCACACGCAAAGCAGACAGACAGACAGCCACATCACCTCCCTCACCACAAAGCCCATCCCATCCACCAACTAGAGCCATCCTACCACACTCTCTGTCCACCTACCCCTCTGTCTACGGCTTGCATCGTCACCCCCGCCCCTCACCCTCCCCTGTCTGCTGCTGCTCCTCCTCCTCCGTCATGGCGAAGCTGCTCACCCTGGCCTCCTGCTGCTCGTTCCCCCCCGCCGCACTCTGAAGCGTCCGTTGCCCATCGGTAACAACGAGATCAGTGCATCTGATTCACCTAATTGCCTGAGTCAGTCGTGGACACGATAGAGTGACTTTTCGGGAGACTTTTTGTGTATCTCTTAAGCTGTTTCTCTATGTATGTATGTGTGTGTGTGTGTGTGTATGTGTGTCTTACTCTGTGTGTGTGACTGTGTTTGCGCTTGTTGGTTGTGTGAGATCATGTGTGTCGTGTGTCTGTCTGTTGTGCACCCGACGCGTGCAGCCGCCGTGTTTGTGTCTGTCTGTCTGTCTGTCTCTCTGTCTATCCACATGGCGTGTGTATGTTGATAGACATAGGATACGTGCGTGCGTGATACTTGAAGCATGTGAGCGGCACAGGGGCTGGCGCTGCAGGGGGGCGGGGAGGGGGAGGGGGAGACGGGTGGGTGTCTGACCAGACGGAGTGCGGCGCGTGTGTGGGCTGGCCTCTTTAACCATCCACGTATCTCACTCACAAGTGGGTGATTCTCTCATGGTCGGCGGCTGGTGTGTCTCAGTCATATCGTACATAGCCGTCCGTCCGTCCACAAATGTCTGTCATCCCGCACCAACACACACCCATCACCGACGCGCCCACGTATGCACGCACAACCGCACCCAAGCAGCCCAAGCACGCGCACCCTTCACATCATCAGCCACGCACGGACAGTCACACAAGCCCGAGAGGGAGGGACCTTCTCTGTCTCATCTTCGCATCATTTGGTCTCGCACGTGAAAGAGAGTATCGTCAGCCTGCCTCTAACTTACCACATGTCACTTGTCTGTGTGTGTGTGTGTGTGTCTGTGTGTGTCTGTGTGCTGTGTTGGGAGTGTGGTGTGTTGTCGCACTTGATGCAGCCCTCATAACATACATACATACATACATCACATTGGCTGCACTTGCACTGCACCCATCACTTATCCACCCACACCACGACGCACGCACGCGCCCAGCCAGCCCACCACACGATGCTCAATCCATCAAAACGCCGAGCGGGCCCCCAGGGGCCCCCACCTCCCAGCGCCAGCGCCACATCACCGCTCCTCGCTTCCACACGCCAGGGGCGTGGTCATGGACAAAGAAGGAAAAGACAGTAATGGCCTGACTGTGGTGGGAGGTGGGTGGTGTAGAGACGAAGTCGAACCAACCACACACACAACCAAAAGAAAAACTTCGCATCACGACATCCTGTCTGTCTGTCTGTCTGTAAGTGAGAGTACCATCAACCAGCCAACCAGCCAACCACCCGGCCCCTATCGTACCAGGCCATGTGTAGGTCTGTGTAAGTGTGTGTGTGTGTGTTTGTGTTTGTGTTGGTCTGGTCCCTATGACGACAAAAGCGATGTCGGTCTCCCACCATGATGCCCGTGAATTCCGTCCCGCGCCCGCTGGTAGAGCTAAGATGACCGAGTGAGTGAGTGAGTGAGTGAGTGAGAGAATGCACGCCCACACGCCCACTATGAGAGAGAATGGGTATAGGCTCCCACTGATTCAGACTATATCTCGCACCACCGGCCAGGCAGACCTTCACTCACACCATCGCATCGCATCGCATCACATCACCACATCAGCAGCAGCAGCAGCGGAACGGGTAGCCAAGCCGACGGACGGACGGACAGTCAGACAGACAGCTGCACACATAACATACCCATGACGACACCGCACAAGCATCCACACGACCGTCGTGCATCTGCTGGTGGTCTCTTCCAGGTGGCGGCTTACTTCAGTGTATGTATGTGTGTGTGTGGTTTGTGTGGGTATCAGTCGTAGAGAAAGGCCCCGAGGGAGAAGAAACCTGGCTGCTTCCACTTGGCGGCCAGGGCGTCGTGCTTCCCCTGTGTGAATCCACCAAACACACACACAGGCCTGTGTGTCCGTGCGTGTGTGTGTATGTCTGCCTGTCTCTGTGTGTGTGTGCAGAGGTCAGCCCTGCATGAAGCGTACCACGGCCCTTTCGGGTCGGCAAAACGATCGCAGCACGTCGGCCATTCGCTGGGCGCACTCGAAGAACAACCAGTTTTTCTTCTTCTCAATCCCAGTCACCGCAGCCAATGTGTCAGGCTGCACACACACACACACACACACACACATACACATACACATACACACGCGTGTCCGCCAATGAGTACATAATGGTTGGCTGCCTGGGGGCCCACATACATACATAAATACATACCCAGCTGTTTTCGCCCTCTCGGGGCATGCCGGCGCCTGTCAGGAACGTCTTGCGGGTCATGTACACGGCAGCGGCCTGATCACAGCAGCAGCCACACACACACAGAGAGAGATGAGGTCAGCCACGCACACACACATACACAAAGAGTGATCTGAGAAGGGAGCCTTGTGGGTGTGTCATGCTTTGGTCTGTCTGTGTGTCTTTCTGTCTGTCTGTCTGTCTGTGTGCACTGACCGCCATCAGGCTGGCCTTGTACTTGCAGAAAGTGTAGTCCGTCAACGCCAGCTCCTGCACTCATACATACACACCCAATACACATACGAACGACGCCGACACTCAGAGCTGATGAGGTGTGTGCTTACCAGGACGAAGTGGACGAACGCGTGCTCCCGGGAGTTCGTGGCTATGCCGCCCGCCGTGGCGAAGCGGTCCGCAAACGCACACACGGTCGTGTCCGGCAAATCCATACTGACCGTCCTGCATCGCATCGCCACCGCACACACAGTACGTACACACGTGTGCGTGAGGTGAGTGTTTGCATTGAATGTCGTCGGCCCACCGACCCCACCCACGTACGTCAGGATGTGGGTCTCGAGTTTGAGTATGTGGGCGACGCTGTAGGTGCCGTCTCGCAGCGGCGACTGGTTGATGAGGCCCGCCAGGTCGGCCGCCTTCACCGGCTTCTTGTCCACAAACTTGGACGCTATCGACACACACGCGTACCCGACCTGCAGAGTACCAACACACACAGACACACACAGACAGAGGGAGGGGGAGAGGGGGAGGTCAGTGTGCTGTGTCTTGTCTGTGTGGTCCCATCATATCATGTGTGTGTGCATTGGGTGCGTACTTACCGCCACCAGGTTGTGGCGCATGAGGTCGTTCCTGTTCTCCCTCTCCTCCCACACTGCACACCACCACACCAGAGCACAGCACAGTACAGCACCCACACAGGAGGGAGACCCACGTCGGTCGGTATACAGACAGACACGTGTGTGCCCTCTCTCTCTGTCTCTGTGCGCCTGCGCTCACCGTTGAGGGCGCAGTAGTCGAAGAGCCGCACCGCCACGTGCAGTCCCTCCCGCGTCACTCCCAGGCCACTGCAGGCGCTTACCATGCCGTCGACCGCAAAGCCGCGGACCTCCTTGAAGGCGTCGCCACACTCCCGCAGGAAAGCCTCCGACACCTCGTACTTGTCCTGCACACCGCAGCCACACACAGCAGCAGCAGTGACTCTCAGTGCCTCGAAGGGTGTGGTGCATGTCGTTGGCTTGGCTGCTCTGCTTACATTGGCCTTGAGGGCCGCTATTTTGGAGGCCAAAGCAGCATTCTGCTGCACTGTCTTCTGGGTGCTCCTGCGGCTCTTGGTGGAAGAATAGGGCTGGCTGCGCCCTGTGGTGCGTTTCTTTCCCGTCTGCAATGGCCACACATACAGACACACAGTGCACTGAGAGAAGCTGCCGGTGCGCGCGGCTTCTGCATGCACACCCTGCACCGCACCCCCTGCACACCTGTTTCGGCATCAGCGAGACGAATGGACGACAGACAGACCGGCTCACGGCCTCCGGTGCAGAGCACTATCGAAAGAACGAAGTCGAAGCTCAGTCGACGACAACGACAGGCAGGCGCTTCTTCTCGCAGCACTGAGCTTGAAGACAGTTTCACGCAATGTCCTAAGCGGCCCCACGGCCAACATTGTAGACGCTTTTTCCCTTCCCTCCCTTCCCTCTCGATGACGGCCGAGACGGATTTCTCCGACGGTTTCTATCGCAAGGAGTGGGACTGGCTACTGGTCTCCTTGAGCTTCGTGCAGGCGTGCATGGGCTCGTTCACTACAATAGAGTGAGCGGCATAATCGTGCTGGTGCTGCGCTGTGTGGGGTGCATCTGTGTGTGGTTGCAGGAGCATCATTGAGACCGTCCATGCGCCATCCATCCGGTTTTTCTTTCGGTGGGCTGCCCAAGGCGCAGTTGCACTGGGGCTCGTGACGGTGTGGGGCATGCACTTTATCGGTGAGGGTGCACTGACAGAAAGGCTGCTGGTCAGGCATCTGTCTCTGCCTCTGTGTTGTGTGTTGTTATGCCCCCAACAGGGATGCAGGCCCTGATATTGCGCGATACGCAAAAGGGAGACCAGGAGATAGATACCAGCCACACGTCGTTCGAGACGTTCACATCTCCTATCTGTGCCACTCTCGGCTGCCTACTCGGTGAGCACACCTTCACACACACACACACACACACACACACACACACGGGGGGAGAGATAGAGAGAGGACCACTCACTCCATCTTCGATCTCTGTTGTCATCTTACGCAGGCGTCTTGATAGGTAGAAGGCACGCCTGCAAAGAATCCGCCGGTCCATCTGCCGTCAACCTCTCCTGTGCCTGCATGGATCTCGCAGCATCATACAATTTTGCATATGCGCACCCCCTGAACCGCACCGGCCGCAAGGAGGCCTGGGCCAACGAAGTCATCGATGCGCTCGAGAAGATCACCCATGTATGTTATGTGAGCAAGAGACACATGCATGACACAAGCACTGGACCACGTCTTTTACTCTGTGTGAGGATCAGGGCAGCATCCTTGCCTGTTTTATCGAGAAGGAGGAGAAAAGGATGAAGCGCAAGGAGGACAGACGGAAGAAGAAACGAGCTTCACATTCCCGCAGCAAGCGCCTCTCTATCAGTGACCGGAAGGTAACTTGGACCAGATCAGCATCTTTGTATGCATCGATCCATGTCACACGTGTATGCGTGTGCAGGTCCTAAGCAGCTGGACGATCAAGTCGTTGTCTGAGTCGGGCAAGTGCCATCCCCTGGAGCTCTCCAGTGCCACGGAAGACACGGAAGGGGACAAACACGAAGCCGACCAGAGCCCCGGAGACACCGATGGGGAAATCAGGATAGACGACGCCCCACATATTGTGCTGAGCTCACCGAGGGAAGACGCGCCACCCCCACCAGCACAAGGTCGCGAAGGAGACGCCAAAGGACTAACTTCCCTGCAGCCGCCTTCTGCAAGTTCTGAGGACGGAGAAGGAACATGGGGGCCATCAGAGCTCACCGACATGGAGGAAGAGAGAGAGGGCCTGCTTCAGGAAGACGCGGCCGACGAAACAAGAGGCGCGGCAGCGACTGTCGTGCTTGATCAGGCGACGCACACCGGCTCCGCGGCCAACCGGGTGCTTCTGCCGTCCCCCGGTCCATCCACCGAGACAGCCCACAGACGAGCCCACGGCAGCCAGAAGGACGCACGCACAAAAGCTCGCGAGAGACTCGCCTCCACCCTCGACGTGCCGGCACTCCATTTTCTTATCTTCACATCCGACTTCAGCGAAGAGGACAGCAACGACGCCACGAGTGTGGCGTCACGGTCGACGGCGAGCAACCCGATGATACAGACCAGGATCATCGACACCAGCGAGGCAACTGTGGAGCAGCGAGCGCCTTCCCGGCGGACCATGAGAAGATGGTCTTTCGGCGGTTGGGAGGGCAATGCTGAGCGGTTTCGGCGGTGTTTCAACTGGGAGGCCATCAGAAGGGAGCTGTTTTCGTATTCTATGGTGCACATTCTGGTGGGGGCAGCGGTGATAGCCCTGGGAGTGGCGGGTGAGGAAGGAGTAGTAAACATGGATTGCGCTGTGTGTGTGTGTGTGTGTATGTGTGTGTGTACCTATGTCTCTTTCGGCTCAGGTATGCACTCGATGAGTGTATCTGGCGGGGTGTTCGCCGGCCACCACGTCTACGATATCCCACTGTGTACGCTCGGTCGCGAGCGGCCGTCAATGAAACACACCGGCGTCTCTCTGTCTCTCACTATATATGTGTTTGTGCGCACTACTCCCCCCCTGGCAGATGCCTTCAGCTGTGCGATTGCGTATTTTGTGGGCGTGTTGACTCTGCTGATCTTGCTGTATGGCAAGGGTTCCCGCGGTGTGCTCGTGGTGGCCCCCCTCATGCTGGCCATGAGTGTGTGCATCGTCCATTACTTGGGAATCACCTCAACTCACTACAGGAAAGGAGAGGTACGTTCCCATCTGTCTGTCTGTCTGTGTCTCGATGTGTCTGTCTGTTTGTGTGTTGCAGCCGAGACCGTTTATGATAAGAGACGACAAAGTGCTGCGGTGGTCAAAGGTGGAAATGGCGCTTGTCACGACCCTCCTGACGCAGTCGGTCAACTACGTCATGCAGCTCTTCATCTCACTGGTGCGCAGAAGTCGGCAGAAGAAGACCTTCCAGATGCTCAAGGTCATCCTCGGCGCTGAGCGGTAGGGCCGGCCACAGGTGCAGCAAGCGAGCGGTCCAGAAATTTCAATCTCTGCTTGTTGGTTTTTCTCTCTCTCTCTCTCTCTCTCTGTGTGTGTGTGTGTCTGTGTCTGTGCAGTTCTCGTGATAGGAACATCGTGTCGCCGTCTGGCAACGTGTCCTTCACGCCCCACAGCGACCGCTCGCTGCCCCTCCCGCCGTCCCTCCATATCTCTGACCTGCCCTCAGAAAAGAACGAAGCCGTGCACGACGAGCTGGAAAGCTAGGTTTTCCCCCTGTATGGCCAGCCGCTGTGTGTATGGCAAGCCGCTGTGTGTGTCGCGGTTTGTCCGGTCCGGTGCGTGCGGTGCTGGGTTCGTTTCGGTGGGGCGTGCATTGCACTGCATTCATTTGCTCGTTTGTGTAGCTGGCCAGGGTGCGCGTCTCGTACTCGTATATATCGCATCCATATATATATATATCATTCCATTCCATGCCATGCAGCACATGAGTGTCATTCATTTATTGATCCATCTGTTCGATCGTCATCGATCCCGAGTGAGGGGGTCGGCCCGGCCAGTCAGTCAGTCAGTCAGGGAGTGAGTGAGTCTATGTACCTACCTGCTGCAGCTCAGCTGCGTTGGTTCATTGTCGTCATGTCCCTCATGTTTACACCCATCAGTAGCATTCCATTCATTCATTCAGCGAGAGTCATTCACGTCATTCACGTCACGTAGGTATAGTAGCTAGCTAGAAGTGTCGGTCAGGAGTTCTCTCGTGCGCTTTTTGTAGGCACGGCTAGACTACCCATCACACACACACACACATTGCACCGTGAGTGGGCGGATGGTGACCACACCTGAATACCTGCTGTCTGTCTGTCTGTCTGCTGTAGGCAGGCGGCTAGATCTGACTGTGCTGTGCTTTCTCTTGTCCCCGTTTTGTCTTCCCCCATTGCTTGCTGCTCTGGTTCGCTCTGTGCGTGCCGCGCGCGCCGTTCGGCATAGTGAGAAGTAGGAGAAGTGCAGTGACTCAAAATGATCGTCGATGCATCCTTTGCCCCACTGCAATGCCAGACGGCACGCAGAATACCAATACCCCCCGTTGCCTCCCCTCTCTCATCCTTTTCCCCCCATCCCCCCATCTCTCTCTCTCTCTCTCTCCCTCTCTCGTCTCGCCTTCCATGATCCATTGCCCCGCCACGGACGCCATCTTATGTCACCATTCGTGTGACCATCCATGCATGTGTGCGTGTCGGTCTGTCGGTCAGTCTGTCTGTCTGTCTGGGAAAACACCCCATCACATCACATCACATACATCCCAGCAAGTGGTCGGTCATCAATCCAATCCAGCGCCATATATAAAATAAAGACGCATGCACACACGCACCGCACACGTACGACGGACACGCAGCGAGGAAGGAACACGCACACGCACGGACAGGCAGACAGGCAGCGAGTGCTTGATAAAAAGCCTGCACATGGACATGCACCTTCGGATGGACGGCATGATGATGACCGAGAAAGAAAGAAAGAGAGCGAATCGGCGGGGCTTGTTTGTGTATGTAGGATTAGCAAACGCGTATTAGACACGCGAGAGAGAGAGAGAATAACGCCTGAAGGCTTGATCCTCGTCAAACACGAGACACACACACACACACACACAGAGAGCGAGGGAGAGAGAGATCCATTGATAGAGATTCAGAAGAAGCGAGAGCGAGTTGGTCAGAGAGAGGTCAGAAGAGGCCAGTCGGCGACTCAGTCAGTCAAACGGTCAGAGCGTACACTTTGTGTGTGAGCCAATCAGCCAATCCAGCAATCGGCCAGCCAGTGTGCAACCTGTGCAACAGACAGACAGCCGCGATGCCGACAAATCATACAAACATACCACAAAAAATGATAGACAATCCATCCACCCACCCATCACCACACCAGCACTAGACGGCTTACTAACCTTCATCAGCCACATCTTCCCCACAAGAGAGAGCGAGAGAGAGCGTGCGAGAGAGAGAGACAGAGAGAGAGAAAGTCATTCCAGCCGAGAAAGAGAGCGTGCAAACACTCATCCAGTTGGTATACACGTGTGCATAGCATACACGCAGAAAACCGGCACCGCCACCCCTCCCCCCTCCCACCCCACCCGCCATGCCCTCGGGATGGGATGCGTGCACTGCACGCATTCATTCAGTCAGTCAGTCATGCATGCATGCATCAAGCCATTGCCATCGTCAATGCATGTATTGCGGTCTGTGTGGATGTGATGTATGCAGCATAGATTGTATTGTGTGTGTTGGTATGCAGGCATGCAGGTACGCATTGATTAGTGGCGCCGCGCCGACTCGACAGAGCAAACAGCGCGGGCAGCCAGGCATGCACCACACACGGGGGGTGGGGTGAGGTTGAGTGGGTGGATGGATGGGTGAATAGAGGGAGGGAGGGGGGCAGGGGGGCATATACGAAAGGAGGTCCCCTGCCCCCCTCAGTGCCATGCATGTCCTACCTACCTCTGTACAATACACACACGGCACGGCACGCATGCCAACCAACCGTCCGTCCGTCCGTCCGTCCATCGCCACACCGACGCACACACAGCGCACCGCGCGACACGTACACAAATGAATGCACGTCGCGTGCTCGCAACAGCTGCCACCAGACGCACACACAGAAAGAGAGCGCTCGCAAGCCTTGTATCACTGGATTGCTTCAGAGATCGATCAAAACAGGCCAGGAGGAGACTCACTGGCCCGATGACAGATTCACATACATGACACAGCAAACAAAGAACACACGCAGCTCGCTGACTGACTGACTGACCGGCTTGAGAGACCACCGAGAACACCACCACAAGACACCCACCATCCCACAAACCCTCCCTCCCCACCCAGCCCCTCTCCTCCCCTCCCCTGCCCCAGCCGGCTTCATTCACGCAGCGGCCCGGACGTCGCTGGCGGCCTGCTCAGCTGGCTTGTGTGGCCCGTCCGCCTCGTGTGCGGTCCGCACGGGGATCATCGGGACTGACGCTGGCGATGTGCCCCCTGCCGACCGCACCGACCCGCCGCCCCACCTCTTGTCACACAAACCAGTCGTCAAGTTGCACACTGATCGATCACACACACACACAGCACAGCAGGTGTGACGGGGATAGGATAACAGGCAGTCGGTGCAGGTGTGCATCCATCCGCCCGTGCGTACCAGGGAAGTCTGGCGGGCAGCACCGCTGCGTGGGCGTTGGGCCTCTTGAAAGAGGGGGGGGCTCAGGGCAACACACTGCACCGCCAATCGGACAGCTGCAGCAACCAACAACCACAAAGCAGTGTCCGCTGACTGACGGTGTCCTGCCTGTCTGTTGTGGCCCCGCTCACCATGACCACTTCTGCGTCTTTTGTGACTGGCAGCAGGTCTCGTCATCGGTGCACCACTGCCCGCTCCCCCCGCACTCGATAATGAACGGATTCGCAAGCTGCTCAGCGACGGGACTCTCCCCTGTGTCCGTGCTCCGATCTGTGGCCTGGTGGTCAGCTGCTGCTGCTGCTGCCGCGGGCATGGCCGTACTTCCGTCGAGTGTGAGGCCTATCACGAGCAGCGCAGCAACGATGAGGATGCCCGTGGCCATCGGGAGGCAGGGAGGGGGAGAGGGATGAGGCGCACACCGAGACAGAATGAAGCGAGATCAGTCTGCGGGACGATGCACGGTTGATGAGGGCTCAATGCGCTGGTCTTGATGAGGTCGATGAAATGTCAGCTTGTCCTCTCCGAGCTGAGCTCGCGGCATATTTGAGCTCGCACAGATTTGCTGAGCCATCTGGCGTTTTTGAGGATGGCAATGGCGAGCAGGAAGGCCCTCCTGACGCTGGCGTGCAGCGGCGTTCGCGCCAACCCTGCCATCAGCCGCGCGATGGACTTCAACAAGGAGAGCGTGCGCACCTTCGTGACGCGCTCGCGTCCCCTCCTCTCACACAACTTGGAGGTCAGCAAACACGCCAGCAGCCAGAGCAGGCCGGAGCGGAGCTTCTCACTTGTGTGCCTGTCCGTGTGTGTCTCGTGTGTGTCAGGACTACTACATCTGCAGCGACTACGTGTGCAAGATCCACAGCCCGTACCTGATGTATTTCCAGTGGGGTATGTGCTGGTTGATGGTGGCGCTGACGATCGGCCCGCTGTTTCACTCCAACTACTACTTCGGCGGCCGATTCCTCCCCAAGGACCAGGGCAACACGCAGCTGTGCGAAGACTCCTGGTAGACCGTGTGTATGTGGATCAATCGGTCACACACATGCTGCCGGCGGATCGGATCAGTGTGTGGCGCAGTGCAGTCAGTCTGTGAGTGTTTCGTTTTGTTCTGTCCGCTGGGTGTTGCAAGCATGGAATGGATGGATGGATGGCTGGATGGATGGCTGGGGAGAAGTGTGAGGTGGGTTGCTTGTCGTTTGCTCTGTCTGTGGGTGCTGCTTCTCGTGACTTCCCTTCCCTTCTGAACCGCCATGTCCGCACCCAGGTTCTATCATTGCGACATCAGTGATGGAACCGAGGTGTGGAGCGGGCTGCCAGGAGATGAGGGAGGGACGGAGCAATGACACAAATACATGCACGTGTGTGTAGAGTAGGAGGGTATCGTGGTGGTGCGGGCGCCGGCTCACAGCTGCGTTGCTATACCCTCACGGGCGGCAAATTTTTGCGGACTCACAGCGTCAATGTGCAGTGAGGAAACACATGATTTGAACGCATATAAGTAAGGAGGATCGAACGGGATCGACACGCGCGTATACGTAGGCGCACAGTACATGTCCTCACATCCGAGAGTCAAAAACAACGGCAACACAATCAGCAGACAGTCACTGCGCCATGGCACACACAAACTCGCTTTGCTGGCTCTTCCTGTGGCTGGCCGTGTCGACGCCGCTCATCCCTGTGGCCACTGCAGCCGAGCACAAGCAGCTGCGGGCGGCCGACGTTCCCGTCTCTCTGCCCAGCCCTCTTGACATCGGTATGAAACGAGACTTGGCAATGCCTGTGTGTGTGTGTGCATCAGCACTGGTGTTGATGTGGATAACAGGTGAGGACGTTCAGTCGACTCATCTGAAGTCAGAGAAGTCACCAACGAGTGAGACGCTGGAGAAAGGGCCGCCTCTCGATGAATCGACAGGTCAGCACCTCACTGCAGCGTGCACATCGATTGATGCACTCTGTCTGTCTGTCTGTCTGTCTGTGTTTCAGTAATTGCGGACGAGACGAATCAGGTGCTGGGAAGGATTGTCTCAATCTCGCCTGGGACTTGGATTGCCGTATTCGCGTAAAACCCGCACGCCAACACGAGGCGCACCAAAGGCGAGTGTGTGTGTGTGTGTCTGCCAGGCTGGTCGTGATGTTCGCGGCTGTCTGCGGCGTCTCTTTCTTGCTCGATCAGGCGCAAAAGAACGACAGACACGGCTGAGCAAAACGAAAGAGAGAGACAGAGACACAGAAAATGACTAAGCGAACACTTGCGTGTGTGACGAATACGTGAGCGTGACATAGATGTATTTCGAACACAACGCTCAGCCACTCCAATGCTCTCATCCCCCCTCTCGCTTTGCCGATCAAACATGAGTAGCTTCAGATATGGCGCGTGAAGTGTGTTTTGAAACATTTGCTGGTTGATCAAGTGGTGCCTTGTACTTATGTCAACGAGACTTGTGTCTGTGTGTGTCTGTCGTGTCTGCGGACCACACGCATCGTGTCTCTGGATCATTCCGCACACTCATGTTCTCCAACTGGCGCCTCTCAGCGGAGACGAGGCAGCAGAAAGAGACACATAATCATGGACATTCACTTGCGCGCATTCTTGGTTGTCTTGCCTTGCTCTTCTGCGTTTTGGGTGTGTCTCTTCCGTCATTTGTCTGTCTGCACGTCGCTTGGTCGGCCGCCTCCCTGATCTCGGTTGTTGACATTTGCCTGTCCTCTCGTGACGTGGCCCAGGACTGTCTCGAGATCGCGGGCACTCCGCCTCTTCTGCTGGATTGCGAGCCCGATCCTCTGCTTCAACTCTCTGGGCAGAAATCGATGAATGAAGCGACAGGCAGATGAGCGTGCGTATTGTTCTGTGACTGACCTGAGCTTGGCCTGGATGGGTTTGTAGGCGCGACGGGACAGATCATGATGACTGAGCACGAGGCCGCGTGGCACGAGTGGTGCGTGGGCGTGTGCCTGCGCCGGCTGCGTCAATGGACAGGCAATGGATAAGCAGAAGAGGACAGCGACCAGCATGTTGCCTGAACCGAATCAATCAAGTCGCGCTTCCAAGCAATTGCTGCCTTTCCAAGCAATGTGTATCCGTACATGAAGATGCGTACTCATTGCAATTGTTACATTGCAACTAACTAGAGGAGGTGTGGGCATAAGCGCCGCCCCTGTAGACCTTGCTGAGACAGACCGTACTCAATGTCCACCGAACTTCTGCGTTTCTTGTCCTTTGGGCCTTTCTTGGAGTTGATAGAAAGGGCCATCGGTGGTCCGGTTTATCAGCAAGAGCTCGAGAGAGAGAGAGAGGGAGACATGGCTGAGCGAACAGCTTGACGATTAATCCATCCATCAATCCATCCATACATCCATCCATCCATCCAGTTCATCACATCTCTAGCACTCCAGCCAGTACTCACACACGAACGAAGGAATGGGTCCGTCAGAAAGCCATGAACTGAAGCTTGAGCTGCTTCAGCAGTTCCTTGCTCTCGTGGTGACCAGGATACGCCTGATCGTTGATCAAGAACACACACACACACAACACACACAACACGTACATCCACCAGACGCAGACATGTGTATGCCTTCCTCCCTTCAGCTCATCCCTCACTCACCTGCAGTGCCATATTGGCCTTGTTGAAGGCATCCTGGAAGTCACCCAACTTGAAGGCTACCAACGCAGAGTTGTAAGCGGGCTCATACAAGTGCGGCGCCAAGCGACTCGCGTGGCTGAACGCCAGCTGAGCCTGGACCAAGACAGGGAGGGAGGGAGGGAGGGATGGTGGGTGGATGGTGTGTCCGTGTTGCTGCATACCTGTTCTATGTTTCCCTTTCTGAGCTCTAGCACTCCCAGGTTGGTGTGGGACTCGGCGTGGTTGGGGTCGATGGACAAGGCCAACTTGAACGACTGATAGCATCGCGCACATACATCCACCTCTCCGTTCGCATGAGTGTGGGGGGTGTAAGAGTGTGTGTGTGTCGACACGTGTTGCCTGCCTGGTAGCTGAGTCCGAGGTCGCCGACTCCGATACCGACCTGGCCAATGTTGTACCACACCTCAGCAGACACACCGTCGTCCGCAAGCATCAGCGCCCTGCACACACACAAAGACACAAAGACACACCTTCACACACACACATGGCGGATCTTTCCATGTGTCCAATGCTCTCATCCTGCCTATCGGCCCACCTGTCCAGACATGTGATGGCTAGGTCGTATTGTGCGGCGTAGAAGCACGCCAGGCCCAGGTTGTTCCACAGCTCCGTTGAGCTCACGCCCATCAGCAGCAATCGACGGCAGAAACGCAACGCTACCTCAGGCTGATCTGCACATGTGTACACAGACACATACATCTGCGGCTCTCTCTCTCTCTCTGCCCACCCGAGTAGAAGTGGTGTGCGGCGAGGCATGCGAGTGCCTCTGCGTTGACAGGGTCTCGTGCCACCACCCGCTTGTACAGCCCGATGCTCTTCTGGCTGTCGTTCAGGTCCTCATACAGACGGGCCATGCTCACCGTCACCGATATGTCACCTACACACACATCCATCCATCCATCCACACGACACAGCACAGCACATAGGCAGGGCGCAATGGATCAAGACAAAGGCCAGTCCATGCCCACCAGGGAACTTTTCGCTGGCTTTCTGATAGACCTCCAGCGCCGCATTGGGCTGATCGAGCTTCAGGTACACCCGCGCCAGCTCCAGGTTGGTCACCACTCGGCTGTCGTTGCCGATGGAGCTCCTGAACTGCTTCTCAGCCTCCCGCAGCAGCCCCAGCTGGAAGTAGCACTTGCCCAGCCGCTCCTTCCACCACCAGTCGGCAAAGGAGGCCTCCCGCGTCGCCTCGGCCGCCAGGTCCAGGGCCTTCCTGGGCTGCCGCAAAAAGTAGATGAGGTAGTCGCACAGCGCCTTGGCGATCTCGGGCCGCTTGGCGTACTTGTGGAAGTCGATGCCGTCCACCTGGATCGTCTCGCCGCCTCCATCCGTCCCCAGACTGGCCATGGACGCGGTGCCCAGACGGACCAGCCGCCCGGCAGATGTGACGGGGCGGCCTGACGCGGCCGTGCCTGGTCTGGCTGACATGGCCATTGCCGTTGTGATGAGGTCTCTCTGCTGGGAGGATGTTGGCCTGGCGGATGTGGCGGGGCGCGTGAAGCCCGTCACTGGGCGGCCGGTGGCCGACACGGGGCGGACAGCCTGCGATGGACCGGTGCCAGCCTGCTGTGCGGACGAAAGGGGCCGCTGCAGGGAGGTACCTGAAAGGAGAAAACCAACACGACGGACCACGAAAGACAAACCGTGCGCTTCGTCTATATCCGCTCTTTCCGCTCATCCACCTGGTCTGGGAGCCGTGGCAGCGACGTTGTCCTCCATCAACGCGTCAGCAAGCCCCTCCACCTCCACCTCGAGGTCATCCAACCAGTGTTTGGCCGTGATGGCCCGGCACTTGAGCACGAATGCCGCCTGGTCACGGGAGTTCTGGCGAAGGAGGGACCCGCACAGCGCCAGGCAGTCGTCATACTGGTGACGTCTGTACTTGCTGAGTGCGTGGAAGAAGGGGTTGATCTTTTTGTCCTGCGGCTGGAGGGGCGCACGGGCCCTCATGCCACCGCCCTCCTGAAATGCTGCCGACATAAGCTTCAAAGATCTCTCCTGGCTCCCAATCTCTTTCTAAGCTCGCGATCATAACGTAAATTTCCGCGCGGTCTGAAGAAGGCTGCTAGTTGTTGGTATCGTGTGTTTCTATCGCTATCGCTATTGCTGTGCACGCATAAGGCAACCATGGCGGGTCGTGACGGGTTCACGCAGACGCCTGACGGCCTGGGCTTCACCCAACAGACGGCTGAGGGGCTGGGGTTCATGCAGACGCCCAGCCATCTGCCCCGCGGCTCCCTGCCGGTGGGCGGCATCCACACGGGCAAGCGCACCCACAGCCTCTTCACGCGTCTGAGCAACATGGTCTCCGCCAACCCCGCCATGAAGGCCATGAAGATAGAGTCCGGCGCCAGCTCCCTTAAGGGCTCCGACAACATGGAGGTGGACTCCTATGTTGTGGACATCGGTGGGTGGATGAATGGATGGATGGATGGATGGATGAATGGATGGCATAATGTCGTTTTGTTGTTTGCACTGGCTGGGTGGCTGCAGGTGAGGTGCAGGCGGTGTACGAGGCCATAGAGTCGTACAAGCAGCACGTGGAGGCGGGGCTGGAGGTGATCGAGAAGAAGCGCGACAGGGAGATCACCAAAGGCCACACCCTCAAGCTCATCTACCCCAAGGAGCCCCCCTTCAAGTGGGATGTCGAGTGGCAGGAGACCAAGGTCAAGGGGCAGAAGATCATAGACGATACCGACGTAAGCGAGACGAACCGATTGATGGAAGGGTGGCTGGCTGGGTGGGGGGAATGAATGGTCTGTGTGTCGATGTATGTGTCGGTGTGTGTATGTGCAGTGGGTGCTCGAGATGAAGCAGCCCGAGAGGGTCCGTGGCACATGTGCCACCCCAGCCACCCACACACACGCACAACACCACAACTCACCAGATACACACACGCGTGTGTGTGTGTGTGTGTCGCTTGGTTTCTCTGTCCTTTCCGTCCCCATTGATGACATATGAGTGTAGGAGATGCAGGTTCTGGCTACCGGTGTGTCGGACTTCGGGTGCAAGTCGATCGACGACGTCGGGCGCCTCGGCGACCAACTATTCACGGTGGTACGTAATGGATGATGCATGTCACGACAACAGCATATGTGCCAATGCGCTCCTTCTTCCTGGGCTGTGCTCGGTTGTGTTGTGTTGTGTTGTGTTGTGTGTCAGGTTCGAGAAGCCAAGAAGGTGAGTCGGTAGTGGGTGGGGTGTGTGTGGGGGTGTTGTGAAAATGGGCCCACACATGGGTATCTGTATGTGTATGCGTGTCGCAGTTCGGCGTGTGTGCTCCGGTACCCTCTCAACGAACCAATCTCCATCCATCCATCCATCCACGTGTATGTGTGTGGTGTGTATGCTGGCACATGGCTGCATGGATGCAGGCGTTCCGTTTGCTCACGGCCATGAAGGAGAACTACGAGGCCCTCACATCCAAAGTAGACGCGGTGAGTGGCTGAGTGAGTGGGCGGGGGGGGGGGGGGGGG